GGAATGGTAAAACTGATTTAAAAAATGGAATTAATGTGTAGGTCTGGTTGAAGAAATTTAGAGGGTATATAGCATAGTGTTTTAAAATTCAAAGTGATAGAGTATTATGCTCTCTGATAAATTTTTAGTCAAAATTTAGAAGAAATATGAACCTTCTGCTGATGGCAGTCTCATGCTGAAAACATATTCAAACCCTGCAAATATCAGTAGGGTGACTCGAGGTGACTGTAAATGTCTGGATGTGCCTTGAGTTTGGCCCTTCAGAGAATGGGAGCTGGCATGTCCCCTCCTTGGAACTCAGAGTCTCTAAGTGCTTTTGACAGTTTGGGCTTTAGGAGCTTTACTTGTGAGCCAGGTGAAAACTGTCCTTCTGCAGAAGCAGGTATTAGTAAATATAATTGTTTTTCAGCCCAGAATACAGATGCTTTGCTACACAAAGGGCTACTAACAGCAGCCTGGTGTAGAATATTAAAAAATGCATGTAGAAACTTGATCAACTCAGCCCCAAAAATTCACAAACTGAACAAGCAAATAATTGCAGAAGCCATTTGGAAGGGGGCTGACAAATCCTAAGCAGAAACATAAGAATGATGGGAATTTGGAAGGCGGGGCTGTCACTATGATATGTAAGCACTACACATCAGCTGCAATCAATAAAAGAAGCAGAGCTACTACTTGCTTAAATACTCCATTGACAAGCAAGAGGGAGGTCATTAGGCATTGGATCTGTTGATCTGTCTGATTGAACCATTGATCTGTTACCCAGTTACTCCACTGTAGTGCCATATTTAACTTGACAGAACTGGAACTTTTTTGCTGGTCCTCTTTAGCCAGTATTTGTTTATTGCATGCTCATCCTTGAAAATGGGTGTGTAGCATAGCTGCTAAGCCTGTTATCTTTTTCATGGAAACCACCTGGAGATTTTTTTATAAGGCCCTTGTCTCTTTCTCCAGCTCAGTCAGTGGTGAAATCCTTTTTTGGGTTACAAAGCACTATCAAACAGAAAATTACTTGTGCTAAGCCAGCTGACTCACTCTGCGCCTGAGCTGAGCTGGGATGAGGTTAAACATGGAGCAGCATGACAATATAGAGAGATACCCAGAGTTTCATCCAAAATCACTCAGATGGATGCTGTGATATCAGAGCAGAAAGCACCTGAACAGATCCACACAGATCTTGGTGTTTAATTCTTTTAGATTAGTCAACTGCAAAACTGTCCAGCTCAAAGCAGGCAACCAGCCCTGTAGCTGGAGACTGTCAGCTCCCTCTGTGACTGAGGACCTCATAAGCTGGGTCAGCTGAAGAAGAATATGGGGCCTCAGCTGATGCATTTTTCCCCTTGTCATACAAAAAAAATTCTCATTAACTCATTCTGTCATTCAGTTACAGATACTCTTTTTTGAGTTTTTTTTTTCTTGCAGTTCTTCATTTTATGACATTTATTTGGCACTATCAGGAGCTCAATCATATTAATGTCAACCAATTAGAGATAATTTGTGTGGGCACTGTTGCATTAGCTAACTGTAATTTCATTCTGTGGTCAGGTATTGTAGTGGTTTTCTTGTTAGTCTTTGAAATGTTCATAATAATGAATAAAGTAACATGAAAATGTAATAGCTTAAATCATTCTTCAATAAGATAGAAAATAATTGCATTTTAATTCCTTTTATTTGCCTGGGTTTTTTTCCCCCCTTGTTGTAGGTGGTCCTTGCTTTAAGAGTAGCTTCACCTCTGGAGAAATAACATTAGGTCATGGGGGCAGCTGTTACACAGTTAAGCCATATGGTTTGTGTTCTGTGTCCTGGCTCTGGGAGTGCAGGTTCTTGGGTCTTCTGCTCCTCAGTGTGGTCTCTGACCACGACTTTGTCATTGTGTAACTCAGTTTCTTTGGCTCCTAAATTGTCCTTGCTATACTTCCAAAGTTTAAGGCTGTGATCTTGTAAATTTAGGGTTCAACAGATGCCTCTTTAGGGCCCTGTACTTGGTCCTTACTCATCCTGGCTGGAAAGTTCTTTTGGAAAGTCCTATGATTTTTCCCAAGCTGTCTCATGTCCATGGCCTGGCCTGATGATTATCCTGCTCTGTTTTTTCAAATGGATCCTGGCTTTTCCTTTGCAGTAACCTGTTTGCATTAGGCAGGGAAGGCCTTGCACAAAGCATGGCTGGGAGCTGTGATGTGGTGACAAAACCAGGCTGCCCAGCGGTGTCTCAGGTACACAGGAGCACAGCAGAGCTGAAACTGCACTTAACACCCTTTTTGTGGAGGAGGTAGGACTTGCTGCTTGTCAGAGCTCTTAATAAGTAAATAAAGTATTTCTCTGTCTCTCTTCACAAATGAGACTGTTTATCTGTTGATCCTAACAAACAACTGTTCCCAGGTCCAACACAGAAGCATTGCTAGTTTTCCCAAAGCCTTTTTTTCCACCTCTGGAATAATAATAATAATAAATAAAAATACACTTTGCTTGTACTATCTTCCTCTTTCTCATTAACTTTTCCAAGTATTTCTTTATCTGCAATTAATCTTCTTTTTGGTACAACTACATCCATATAATATGCAACCTGCACTTAAAAAGATATTTTTATTATGTCATCTCTGAAAGAATTCACTTATTCATAATAAGTCTGTGTGTTTTCATGGCAACCCAGCAATTCTTTTCTTTCTTTGTATTTATTAAGCATAACAAAAGATTTAGTTCTTTTGCTTTCATTATTTAAAAGATTACTCATACTCAGTTTGACAATTAAAAAAAATCCACAGAACACAAATTTTTACTTATTTTTTATTTTGAGTCTTAAAAACAGAAGTACTGAGTTTGTCCAAAATTACATTACTTCTAAGACAGTGGTGACAAATGTATTTTTATACTTGGAAAAATTAGTATGCCTTACATTCACCTTGCAACGACTGGGTAAGTCTGGCATACTTTTTTCCAGAGCTGTTGAGGGATTTGTTTAGCCCAATAGGATTTGTATTGATTTCTGTTTCACTTTTCTTTTTTTTGGTGATCTTTATTCTTGGGGTTTTTTTCTTATATTGATTCTGAAAGCTTTAGCCATTTGGGTTATTACAAATGTTGCTATATTTATGCTGTAATCCTACTACAATAATCACAAAGTCAGACTTTCACAGACTTGCATGCACACACAAAAAATGGAACTTTCAGCTGGTTTGCTGGAATCTGAAGTCTCTCAAAAGAACTTACCATATTTTTTTCCAGATGATTTTTTAGGTGATACAGGGACATTAATCTACAGTATAAATTGGTAGTTATTTGATACTATTGCTCATTGCACAAAATTGCAAATATACATTTGAGGTAAGCCAGTAAGTTCTGTTTTATGTCCTATCTGAATATTTAATCTATATGGACCAAAGAGCTGTGTATGAGACCATTTCAAAAGAAATTCAAGGCTTTTCATAAATAAAAGCAACTATAAGTAGACAAGCACAAAGTTTAAAAAGAAGGTTTTCCTGGTTGACTGCCAAATACACTTAACATAAGCAAGTTTTTTTAAATGAAGAAAAAATGATCAATATAAACTCAGCCATTCCAGCAAATCCCAGATTTATGTTTCATCAATTAAACTCAGAACTAGCACTGCTTTAGCTGTCTGTAGATGTTTTGATATTATTTTGGATTTGATGAAAACCCACAAGCAGCAGTTCCCTAACTTTAGAAGTCAGAAGTCTGCAGGACTAAGTTGTTTAAAATCAAGCAATCTTAAGAGCTTCTCTCTTAGGGAAGAGACCAAAAAAAGTCTTAGAGGGATGTCAGCTTCAACAGTACTGGTTATTAAGAATGATAATTCCAACCACTTGGAATTATGCTAGCTAACCCAGTGGATCAGAAGGCTCTTTGATACCAGTGCTGCAGATCAAACCTTGCCAAACTTCAAACTGCAGCTGCATCCCAAGAGGAAAAACTTTCTCCATCTAAGGCAGAATTTGGTCAGCTTCCAAAAGTTATTTATTCCTCCCTTCTTAATAAAACATCTTTTGCAGTTTTATGTGTGACAGACACTCACTGTAGCTTGAAGGGATTAGGGTGTAGAAAAGCCAGCAAAGAGCAATTGTCCATCCCATACCCAGGTGGGGAGCATTGAGAAATACTTGAACACACAGTGGGATGTGATGAGACCATGGCCCCAGAGAGGACTGAGGCTGAGCAGAGTGAATGCTCTTACATGGTTTTACTGTAAGCACCTGAGTGATAAAGTCAGTTCCCAGTGTGGGGCTGGGAGCTGCTGTTACAGTTATACATCCTACATGCTGGAGTGAATATTCTGATTCCACCCAAATTCTGCACCAATCCTCTAGGAATGTGGCCTTTTCATTTAGAATCAGGATTTATCTGCTCTCAGGTGCTGAAATTAAGCACCCAGTATTTTGTGGGTTGTGGGAGAGGGAGAAAATATTTTTTTTGTGTTATCAGAAGGCAAGTGCTAAGTAATGGACAGTCTTACCACCATTGCAGGCACCTAGAGCTCAGCAGATCTGCAAACCTTTCTGGACTGTCAAGCTGTGTTGCTGGAGCTGAGCTATTTCAGGGAGTTCATTACAGAATTACGTTGTTGAGGAATAAATGAAATAGTCACAGCTCCTGCTAAGAGTTATTGATGGTAATAGCAGTCTTCCTCTCAAATAAGACCATGTCACTGCCTTTAAAAATAGGAGACCATTCATGTGAAAAATAGTAGGTCAAGAATAGAGCTAGTAATGTAGGAACTGAGCTTTAGGTGTAGTTTATCAGGTACTGTGATCCATGGGCCACAAAGAGGAACCTATGGAGGGACAGCTATTGAATGTGGACATAAAACACAAACCTTCCCTCACTTTTAAGTGAATCAAATTTTATTATACTGAAAATTAAAGGCAGATACAAAGTGTGAATTAATCAAAGAGAAAATAGAAGCAAATCTGATAGAACCTGAGTAAAACAATTAAAAATTCTCAGACTTGCTTCTGTGACACTCCATATTATATACCACATAGCATTCATTTCTCTGAAGACTTCTTTTGTGATAAATTCTGGAAAAGAAAAAGAATGGAATTGTAGAAAGTGAAATATTTTGAGTATAGTATTTTTTCACAGAGAAATTTTAAACATTGAGATGTTTTATTTTCCTTTCTGATAAAATAATGAAAAAAAATAACAAAGTACAAGTAAGTTACGTTACTTCAACAGAAACTTGAAACTGATTATAAGAGTGAGTAATGCAAATTTCTTAGGACTGTCGTTCTGCTTGATGGTAGTGGCAGCTGTGTCTTTGTACAGCTCAATCAGGGGCTCTAAAGTGAACCTTTAAAATTTCTTTGTTTCTCAAAAGGGACTTCAAAATATTTTTTCTCTTTGTATTGTGACACAGACTGACAATCAAGAAATTTGAAGTAAGGATTGGCATTCAGAGAAAAACATGTTTTAGTAAGTTTTTGTAAGGAATTTGTGAGTGGACAAAATAAAATACTAGTTGAAAGGATGTTATTATCATCTTATTTCTCCATACTCCCATCTTCCATTTAACTGGCAGCTGGAGGTAAAGGTTAATTTAGCTCCTAAATGCATAATCTTTTGCAGCTTTCAATAAAGTAACAATTTATATAAGTCCCCCATAGTGCATCTTTCTTGTGCTAAAAGCATATCTTTAAATTCTTCTTTGTGCTTCCTTTTCTATAGAAGTTATATTCGTGGACATTTGGAAATAAGCTGAAACAAATGGGTACTGGAGCATGTCTGCATCAAGAGGATATCTAAGCATGTGCATAGCATTAAAAAACTGCTTATCTAAAACCACTGCCAATCATCCTAAAGGACACCTTTAAAACTAAAATTCTCAAACACTTAAAATATATAATGAAAACGGCATACCATTTGCAGAATTTCAATTTCTGCTTGAAGAGTCTCACAGACACTTTCCCAACTATCATCTTTGCATTTTTCCAACTCTTTCTTAAGCCTGTGTCCAAAAGCAAATAAATTTTCAGGTCAGAGAACTGTTGCTCGGTAACTTATTTTTCAGCTTTGGTCCCAATTCTCAATTTGACTTGTGTGAGAAAAGCCTCATTGATCTATTTCCCTGGTCAGGATTTAAGTTTGCTAGTTAGACAGATTTCTGGACTGTGTTGTTTCCATAAACTGTGAAAGATATATGGCCTTGCTAGTCAGCACATTCCTTATTTAAACACATGAATTTCAATGGTGATACTTAGAAAGTACCACATGTTACTGTTCTTATCTCACCTGGGTATCTTCTTGTAGCCTCTGCTGTGGACAGAATTTTGGATTAGATGGGTGCTGTGCTGCCCCTGTGCTAGAATTGCTCCACACCCCTCAAGAAACTCCACAGCTTTTGTTCCTCTTCTCTCCCCCCTGCTCCCACTATTCCTCAGCACTTACTGTTTCCCAGTACTCTCAGCCAGGAGTTCTCCAACTTTTCTACAGTAAGGATTACTTTTAATATAGATATTTCTCCATTAAAAGATAGTTTAGTCTTGCTAAAAGGAGATACCTCAGCTCTGCACATCAATGACTGTAGTGGTTTAAATTAATACTTGGTAGGCCCAGAGAAATCTCTGGCAGAGCTTTCAGTATTCTGATAAATACAAGGTGATGAGATTATACTGGGTCTTTTCATGGCTGTCAGAAGAAAAGCATAATGACAAAGATAAAGTTGTTTACCTTTAATACAGTTTCAGGAAACAATCTGAATGTTCTGGAACATACAAACAGAGTGAAAATATTCTGCTTGTCATGAAATAGCCAAACCAATGCATTAGAGCAGGACCATGTTTCTTCTGAAGTTGAAACAGAAGGTAGCAACTATTTTTGCTTTTATATACTATAATAGACAATAAATTATTTGACCTTGCTATAGAGATGTACCTCTTTAGCTGTTCTAGTGCAAAGAGAGTTGATTTTCTACACAAAAATGGCTTTATTAAAAGGTGTATATTTAAATAGAGGAATAGCTTAGTCACTGTGCAGCTTTAGAATAACAGACTAAGACTGGACTGGAAGTTAATTTTGCTTTTCCTGTGGAAGATGCAAATATCTTACCATCAATATGGAAAAAGCATGAGCTGTATGTCCTTGCATTATAAAGGAGTAAATGTCTCTTCTTTCAGAAATATTTCTTGTAACACAAGAATCAAACAGGGAATTTTAAACTTGCTTCAAGAAATGAAATTTTCAGTGTATTGAAAACATTGTTAGTTTTCAGTTCATTTCATTGAGAGAAGTTCACTTCAAGGTCTAGGATCAGCTTGTGATCTTGATTAAATCTGCTTAACTTCATTGCCTTGTCTCTGCATTCTTTTCTCTCTGTGTTCTCTGCTGGTGTGATATTAGAACCCTAATTTGCTTGGGACAAACAAAAGCCCTACTTAGTTTAATTTACTTCAGGAAAAGACAGAGTGTCCTGGTCTCAGAGAAAATGCTGTCCCATTGTGTGTCACACTGTAAAACTGATGCACAGCCTGTTCGTCACTTGTTAGCTAGGAATTATTCCAGTCCATGCTAGATCCACATTAGGGATAGAACAAGCAGAAGATCAGCAATAGGAGTTGCTTATTTGTGTCTTGGGATTGTGAATTAATTTCTGTTGATGATGTGCTTTGAACCTAACATTTTGTGTATGGATTTAAAATTTTATTTCAAATATTTCATTAGACTTTTAACCCTAGTGACAGCACAATTCCTTACATAGCATCAGGTAGTGGTGGTACAAGACATTCATTCAAATGTGGTGTTTAATTCTTACATTAATCAATTGATTCTGCTTTCAGGTCTTCCTTCTTTCTTATTTAGAAGCTAGATAATTACAGTATGTGCCAGGAATAATATACTCACAAAATAAGAGCTGTCTGTTAGGTTACAGTCTACAAAATTAATGCATTGGAGACGCCTGAGTTACTGAATAAATGATGAAGTTTTACCAGAAGGAATGTGAGACAATGGAACTATTAAAAAAAAAAATGTTTAACCTGAAAGCAGATTCATTTTTTTCATTTTACATTTAAGATAAGCAGGATATTCATATTCATCTTTCCATTATCAGATTGAATGTGCAAACCAATTATTCATGAAACTATACTGTCTCGATGGAAGGCAGGTTCTCTGTCACCTTTGAAAATGGAAAAAGATGTAACTTGTGCTAGAACAAGGATTAATTTGACAATTATACCCTTTTTATGACTATGAAAAAAGGCAGATCTCTTGGGAAAAATAATCTGAAAAATCACATTAGCATTTGGCTCCCCATGTCCTTTGGTTTTGTTTTATTTTTAGCATTTTGTTCCCCTTGCTGGCAATAAAATATAGCTTTAAAATAAGTCATTGCACTGGACTAACAGTGTCTTGGCAAGTCACGGTATCACAGGCTGTAATGAACAGCTGGAGCTGAAATGCCACATTTGCAATAGCTAAACCTAGCCTTAAATCAAGTAGGTGGGAAAACAACATCAGCATTTTTTGGATGCTAGCTTGTCCTAGACCGAGCTCTGCTATCAATGGCCCATTTTCCATTAGTCTTGAATGCTAGAAGTGACAGAGATGAAGAAGGAGGAGATCACTGAAGATGATCGATTTTGCAGCTCTGAAATGAGCCCAGCTATTAAATGTCATTGGCATTTGTGGTTGATACACATTCTTCTTGAATTTCAGCTCTATATGCACGTGGCAAAGAGGAAAAATAATTTGAAATCAATACATGCTGGTATTATAAATTGAACTATGAAGAAAATAATGTTATTGTCAAACAGGTCTCTGTGCAAATCATCCATAGATTCAAATAACTGGATCAAAACTTTAGTCTCCAAAAGTTGCATTCTAAGAATAATTTTCTGTAAAGAGGTGTTAAAGGAGAAATAATTTCTGTAGAAGGTAGGGCTAATATGTGAGGATTTTTTTTTTTTGTGGTGTTGAAAGACCGTACCTAATTGTTGTTGGAATTGCAGGAGGAACAGACTATCTCTTAGTTATGTTTAGCTGACACAAGTACAAATGTTTTCCATATTCTCCTTTTTGTCTTTGCCTTGTTTATGTCCACCATTTTATTTTTAATCATAAATTGGAGGGAAAACATTGTGGTGTGTTATAAAACAGAATTGCTTGACACTGATATACAGGGCATAGAATCCATGGTACAAAATGAAATTCCTTAAGAAGCTATATATAACTTGAGAGTACATATCTTGATTTTCTGGAATTTCATTGTGAACATCAGGAGATACATTTATCAATGTTTTAAGATTTTATTGGGACTGAAGAAAAGTATTGAAGACTTAAGTTTATTGTCTCAAGCTCAAGTTAGAGGTAAGACATTGAGGTAATTCTGTCAGTTCAAGACTGGGTTTAAATACTGTGCATGTTTCTACCGTGAGAGCAAGATTTGGCTGGTATTTACAATTTGCTGACACTACTAAACAGAATATGCTATTTATACAGTTGGAGAAGTCAATAAATTTCAGACTATTATCAATTGATTAAGGAAGAGAAAAAACAAGTCCTAAATGGAATACAGCATTCCAAAATATAAAGTCAAGTACTTGAGTTACACAATTAAATATAAAACTCTTTGCTTGATGGAGCAGGAGGATAATAAAATTAAGCAAGTGATCTAATAGTAATAATAAAGTCTAGCAGGAAGATGAAACATGAACACAAAGAAGGTACTAGACAACATAACAATGGAAATTAAATGCAAATGAAAAGAAATTTATGTATTTTAAGTAAAATAAGAAATTTTCAGCTTTTGCTGTCCTGGATAAAATGTTAAGTGTAAAACACATAATTACCAATGATTAAAACTTGCATTTTATGTATGTTGTCAGGCAACTATTGATAAGAGTAGTCAGAGGTCTTGACAAGTGTGGTGGTATTTTCCAAATACATAAACCATCACAAGACATATTTAAGGAATATATAATAATAGGTGAATAAACATCGAAAGGTTAAGGCACACTAAATTAAATTGCACATCTAGGATGAGATTTGCTTTTGTGCAGACAGCAAACCAAGTTGTGTGGATTATTTTTCATTGGAACTGTAAGAATGAGCTACACAGGAAAGAAAAAATACACAAGCATGTATGTGAGATGTGAAATGAAATGTGTTTCTAAGGGTCAATAAGATTCTTATTGAAAAGCAGGGAAAGTAAATAGGGGTCAATGGTTCTTCTAGTTCAATTATCTTGATTTTTCTATTGGACAAAGAAAATTAGATTTTAATTTGAGTATATTAATATGGCTACTTTATTGCTGAAGTTAATGTCTCTGTTATGTACTGCTTTCTTCATGTGTATGACAGACTCAGAGGTAAAAGGGATTTAGAATTGTCCTTGTTTCATTCTGCTTTATGGGCTCTCCATGCTCTGCTCATCTTCCAGGTTGAATGAATCTTTCTTGACAAGTAGGTGAGAGATGTGTACAAGTGTTCTTACACCCTCCTGGTATTTTTTTGGAAATAACTCTTTCTTTTATCTCGTGCACAGCTATATTTTCTTTTGATGTTTATAGCTGTATTTTGCACACACAGTATGCTCAGACCTCTCTGCTTTCAGCTACCTGTTATAAAAGTCCCTAATTGTGTACAAGTAGATAAACTTACACTCTATACAATCATATTCCTCCTTTTTTTAGTGACTCTTCTGCAAGGTGTAGAGTTTAATTAAGATAGTGCTGTCTTGAAACACTTTCTATTCTAAAGACATTAATTAAAACATTAAGCAAGACCAACTGTGATTGTTGTTACCTTTGAGTCCCAGAATTTTGAATTGCAGACCTATGACTGTTGTTACTATTACTCATTTCTTTACTTAATTTTTTTAGTGTGTCTTCCCTAGGTTAACTAGTATTTTTCCATTTGGGATCGCATCAAATACTTTATAAATGTCTAGATGGATGGCATTGGAATTTTCTTTGTCTAATCTATCTGTTGTCTTATCAAAGAAAGGCATCATTAGTCAGATTTGATCTGCTTTTTGTAAATCCATTCTACAATTCATAATAGAAAGCTATTTTAACATAATTCAAGCTATAATAGTTCCACTAGGCACTGCTATTAAAAAGAAAAGCTCAAAAAATCAATGAGGAGATTGCCATTGAAAAACTCATTTTGAACCACATATATTACTCCAGAGACTGATATTTTCTGATTATAAAATTTAACATCAAATTAAGTTGCAAAAAAAAATTTAACCTGCCAGAAGAATGCATGGGGCTGAGGCAGTCTGTTTTTTGTATGAACAATTTGTTGAGCTCTAAAGAATATATTCCCTGTGTGATTTGTATGAAAGAAATTAATTTTTCCTTCCTAATTTTGGTAATAGAGTTTCTTTTTCTGGATTATGAAGAATAAGAAGGAATACTGTCATTTAGGATTTAGACTTGTATAAAAAGCTGTGAACTATTTACAAAGTAAGCAGATTTCATGCATTTCCTTTCTGCTCCTTCTTTTCTGAAGTACAAGAGAAATTCAGGTTTCAAAGAAGCATTTTATCCTTATTCTACCTTTTTAATAGGTTGAAAGATATCTATTTTAGGTAGAAATGCTCTGATTTTAGTCTAAATGAACTTCAACTAGAATTATTTCTGGGCTGTTTTACTTAAGGCAACACAAAAATTTAAAATTAAAATGTGAAAGAGGATAAATAATTAATACAGTAATTACAATGAATACAACAATGAAATGCCATAGTTAGGAATTTACTGGTATCAGTTAGTCTCTGTTTGACTCCTGCATTGTTCCACTTAAGTGATGTTACTTGCTACCTGCCAGGGAAATGGGACTCCAGAGAGCTGATGCCAAAGTTCTTTCCTGCTGTTTTGTGTTTGAGGATGGCATTGGCAGAACAGATGATTAAAACAAGGCTTTTGATCTTAATTGCAGCTCTCTTTAGGGAAAAAAAAAAAAAAAATGAAAACCCAAAAAAAACCCCAAAAAACAACAGCAAAAAGAAAGGAAAAATAAAAAGCCTTATTTTCTTAAAAATTTCTCTGAATTATGCACTTGTATCATGAGACTTGCATTTTCCAAGGTGCCTGCTAATTACATCTGTGCTTAACATTCCAATTCTGGTTGGATTTTTTTCTGCATCTAGTGTGGATCAGGACAAGCCTCTACAGCAGCTCCAACAGCTGCTGGAATTACTGGTGTGTGCTTCTCGTGACCCTTTGCAATACTTTGATGGATTTCAGAGAAATTTTATGAAACTGCAGACGTGGTATGGGGCATTTTTCTCAGATCAAAGATGAATTGCTGTAATTTGAATTAGCTGGCTACGCTGTTCAGCTGAAATGCAATTTACTTTTAGATATATACTTAATTGCAATGAAGATTCTTGCCTTGCCAGCTACTTTTGATATTGATTTCTAAGCTGGGACTTGGGATGTGATAGAGTAACAGACTTGCAGGGTGATCTGGGAGCTACATATATCAGGTTATTGATGCTGACTGTCTCTCATGTTTGTTCTAAGGAAGCATCAAAAAAAAAAGTATTTTTACCACTTAATGAGGTGTGGTTTCCAGCTCTGTAAAAAATAAAATCAGATTTTGTGCTATTTCATAGGAAAAAAAAAAAAGTATTTCTGATCCACATTACATGTGTCAAAATATTATCCTTATGTGTAATAAAAATGATTTTCAGTGAAAAACTAGAATTCTGTTCTAGTATGGGGATAAAAAACCTGATCTTGTTAGGCTAAAAAGAGTTGTTTCTCAGACACAGAAGGTTCAATCACATTGATTTTAATATGACCAAAATTGACTCCTGTTAAGATACACGAGTATATGAGTGTGTCTCAAGAAGGAGAACCTCCAAGGATGAAAACTATGCAACCTCCCTAAGCAAACTGTGCCTCCTCATGATAAAAATGCTTTTCCCTCAAACTTACTCTAAATCTTCTTGTTTCAACTTCTGCTTTTTGCCTTTAGTTGTCTTAGTGTGCAGCACTGTGCAGATTCTGCCTCCATCCTCTGGATGATACAGAGGTACCAGAGAGTGATCAGGTACCCTCCAGGGGACTATTTATATGCTGCACAATTTACAGTGTCTAATACTTTAAATCCCCTTTCATTCTCTTAATTCAGTAGTCCAAACCAAGAAGTGATGAGTAGGCTTTGTTAAATAAAAAAAAACCCAACCTAAATAACTGCTAGCGTTGTATGAGTTTGATAAAGTTTGGGGTGGCTCTAAAGCAGTGACAGAGAGGCAGACAAATGAGGATTGTCTGCTTGGCTCCACTGAAAAGCAGAATCTATTAGTGCTGACATGGAAATACAGCAGCACAGCTCTATTGCTTCTGGCATCTGAGTTAACTTTTTCAGGGCTATCTGTCTCTATGAAGCATTGAGCTTTTCTGATCAAAAGCAAGTGCAAGATAAAAATATGATTTAGGCAAATCTGTCTTAAACTTTCTCCAGTATCTGAAATGAAAAAAATGTTCCAATTTTAAGAAAATGTGTTCAGTATATTACTAGACTTCAAGAAGGGCTTGCATTTTGTGATAGTGGTAATAGCATAGGAGCACTTTATTTTTTGCACTACATGCAATTATCAAATAATGTTAGCTTATCTCTACCATAAAAGGAGGCATTTCATGAAATAAGAAAATCTCATCATCCTTCTTGCCTTGGTTGTAAATGACACTTGCTGATTTTGCAGTTAATAGAATTTAATTTGTTTTATCCAGTTTTTCACCCAGAGAAAGCCAAAGTGTTGTTCTGAAGAGCTGTGAGTTAATTCCACTGCCTAGAAAGACACACGTGAATTTGACTGATCCTTAGGATCTCAGTGGCAGAGCTGGGGATTAAAAGCATGATAATGCTGGCTACTTCTGTACCTTGCACACAGGAAACCTGCTCTAGAAAATTAATTACACAAATTTGGATATTCAGTGGCATCATGGCAGTAAACTATTCCAAGGGAAGTATGTTAGTTGGAAGGAAGCTGACAGCCTCGTGTATCACAACCCCAATATATCATGATTGAATGAATAATGTAAAGGAGTGAAATATAATGTGCTGTCCTGGAGAATTGTTACTGTTATTATTATTTACACTGTGTCTTCTCTGTATATGTTGAATGCAAATTTTTTGCTACTGTATGCAGGATTGTGAGCTAATTAATTTTTATGCTGAGGGGATTTTGGCCATGTCTCAACACCATGCAAGAGGTTGAAGAGAGTTAGTAATAGGGCTGATATATCATTTTCTTTCAAAAACCAATATTCAGCAAAAAATGGATCATTACCAAATCGTCTTTCAGAAAATTGCTCAGGGTTCTCTGCAAAGTTATAACTTTCCATTGAAAGTTTTCAGATAAAAAAATGCCCGCTATATTTATTTATTTTTGTCAAAAGCTTAGGGATATATAGGAATTGTGATGGTAATATAAGTTGTGATTGCCTTAATTTTTGTCAGAGAATCTTTTGGTCTAGCTTTAGAAGGAGGAGTTCCTTTGCATTGCCTATTAATTATTTTTTTGGCTTTGTGCACCACCACCATTCCTGCAGCACCTCAGGAACTGAACCTCCACCCAAGCAGCTGCAGTTTGTTCTTGCTCTGGGCTTGACTGACACCCCTGCTGACACTTTCAGTTTTGGGTTCATTGGGGTGTGGATGTGAGGGTGAAATGCTGCAATCAACAACAGGACTTGGGGCTGACTAATAAAAAATGAAGGGTTCTGCTGGTTTCAGAAGGAATGTTGTACATGGAAGGTAAAATAGTTATCAGGACTAAACTGCAGTTACACTCCTAAAATTAAATTAGGAACTGATTAATGTGAGGCTTTTACCTTAAACACTCAGGATCAGTCTGAGGTTTTTCAGTGACTTGGACTTTTTCTGCTTCTAAATCTTTTGTCATTCTTTCCGCTTCCCTGATTACTTTCTCAAGGTCTAAACATGAAATCAGAATTACCCTATAAATATATATTAATCATCCATATTCAAAGACCTTCTACATATTCTAAATTTATATTTTCTAATATTTCTTCATGAAACTTTTTGAAGGGTAAAGGCATCTAAATAAAGAAAATTAATTATTTTTTTATTATTGTAATCACATATTGCAATCTAGAAAATTTCACTCTTTTCCCAAACAATTTAGGACCATATTTACTGCTTTTCTTAGCTCTTACTGTGACACCTTACTTAGATATTGGTAAAAAAAATAGATAAAGCACTCATTTACATTATTTTAATTCAGATTTCAAAATACTCCCTATTGCTGTGATCACCCTTGACACAGAAGATTTTAAGTAATGTTTATGTTGACTTTAAGTTCTTTGAAACATTAAATTCTACATTTAAGTATATGACTTACCAGCAAAAGCAAAACTTTCTTTCATATTTACAGCTCATGATTCAGCAGATCTCTGGACCTCAGTATCAATGACATTTAAATTAAATTGCGTTGAAAGCCATAATATTTGTTTTAATCATGTTTTAAAATGATGTATTACGTATTGTAAAAAGAAAATGAAATATTGTTACTACAATTCCTTTTGCTTGAGAAAATTGACAGAAAACATTTTTCAAAAGCATTTGTCAAGCCAGAAATAATTATCACAAGAAATAGTTATCAGGCACACCTTTGAGCTCACTTTGGAGAGTAAATAAATCCTGCTTTAATTCATTCTTCTGCAGCTGGAGCGCATTTAACTGAACATTTTCATGTTCCATTGACTCCATTTCTAAGAAAAAATACGTTTTAAATTAAAATGCATTGCAGTTTTAGCATTCATGATTCAATCTTAAATATTCTTAACTACTTCTACCAATCTTCAGCTAGTCAAAAGAACCTTAAATATAAAACCAAAATAAACTAAAATAATTCATATATAACACAGTTCACAGGAAATTATGTCATATAATGCATTCAGAGCTATGAAAGAAAATGATTTTTTTAATGTTATTGAGCTGTTCAACATATTTTGTTGTCTGGGCATAAAAAGAATGTTTTGCTTTACAGTTAATTCAGCCATAAAGAAAGGAAGATGACTGATTGAATAGGTGGAGAACAGACATCTCTCAGCAGGACTGAAAAAAACCCTCTTCTTAATATTTTTGGTGTTATATATATTTGAACCTTACTATAAGACAGCATCTGGAATTAATTGTGATTGTTTTTCTACCAACTGGAGGTCCTCACATAACTTCCTTGTTATGAGTTTCTTAAACTTTTCACTTCAGAGTTGTCAGTGTGCCCAGGAGTGTAGCAAGCAAAAAGACAAGTTGTGCCTCAAGAAAGGTGCAATTAAAGGATGGAACTGAGATGGCAACTGAACTTGGAGAAGAATTTTGATCACCCTCCAGGTACTACTGATCATTTAACTGCCCAGCTCTGTGTGAATATGTAAAAAATTAAATGCTAAAAGTGGCACTTGACACCAAATGCAGACTTTTCAGTTGTAGATTAGTATCTTAGCCACAGGAAATAAGAAAGAAGGTGTTACCAAGTGCAAGCTCCAGTGGACAGTCATTTTTCAGTATCTTTATAGCAGATATGGGGAATTTAAAGTGCTGTTGCTTGGCAGATCATGAGGTTGGAATGGACTTTGAGGGGTCATCTACTGCATTCTTCTCCTGAAGGCAGGATCAGCTGTACCTCTTGTTTCGGAAAATGCTGGTTTGACCTTTTTTTGATAACCTTTGGTAATGGACACTCTGAATTCCTTTGGTAATGCAATCTTCTAAGTCAGAGAGCTTCAGTTGTCCACTGTTCTTAAAAAGATTCTTAAGCTGTCAGACAGACTCTCCCTTATTGTGCTTTACACTTGTTACTTTTTATTCAGTTCACTACAGGTATAGAGAATATATTTATTTTCTTTCTGCAGGATGCTTATACAGTTTGAAGACTGATACCCATCTTTCATCAGTCTTTTCCTTAATAGCTTAAATAGTCACAATTCTTTCATTTTCTTCCTTCTCATGTGCTCCAGAACTCTGATCACTCTCACTGATCCTATGTGGATTCTCAGCAGCTGGTCCATACTTTTTTTTTTTTTGAAGTTTAAGATCAAAATGAGATGCACAGCACTCCAGTTCAGAGCTTAACTGCCCCAAATAGAGTGAGGAATTATTTTCATGTGTTAGAGGTCAGGATTCTGTTTGTGTCTCAGTGTGGTGTTGGCATTCTGATGTCATTGACTCATGTTCAGCCTGTGATCCATGACGACCCCGAATTCCTTGCGGAAGGGCTGCCCTGCAGTGTGACCCTGTGCTCTGAGAGATCCCTTACTCTGTACCTTAGCTGAAAACCAAGCTGCACTGTGGCAGTGAAGAACCAGTCCTACAGGCCATCTGTGTCTACAATTCTTTTGAAGCTAAGGAAATGCTGAACCACAGGTGATTCTAATCCTAATTCAGTGGCTGTGGGTGACTGTGAGCTCTGTGCTGGCTGATTTAGACACTGGGAGCTGCCCCTTTAGGTTGGCTCCTTCTCCTCACAGTGCTCACATCAGAAAGGCTGAAGAGGACAGGGAACAGAAGAGCCTTTAATTCTGCTTGCTATGTCAGACCACACTTTCAGTTCAGTGCTAAACAGCTGTATTTTATCGATTTGTGTTAATCCAAGATAAACTGGTTTAATAGAAGACTTACCATTTTTCAACAGAGCTGCCTCATTCTCTAATTCATTTATTTCAGTCTTGACTTTCTTTTTAATAAGAAGATCCCTATTACTTGTTAGTCCATATTCATTGTTAAACTTTGTTACTTCTCTGGTAAAATTATCTTCCTCTTCAGTAATTTTTCTCTTTGCATCTGCCTGAGAAAAAGAAAGGGAAGGCTGAATATTCAAGTGAAAAAAATGAAAGTCTTTGTTAAGTTAGGCAGACTGAGACATACTGTTGTTTTTTTATCCTTAAATTTGTAGTAGGAAAGTAAATAAAATTTTAAAATGTAAAAGTAAAGAAAATATTTCCTTTTTCTTATAAGAGCTACAGCTCTATCATTATGCCAGTTGTTTTAAATTTATGTTTTCCCTGCAAAAATGAAGTCTATTCTTGATAACAGCATTTTAAAAAATTACTACATTATGTTACAGACTTGAATGTGCAGATTTTCTGTTCAATTCATATTGAAATTCAAAAATTCTGTTTAAACTCACTAGCATAGTATGGCAGCTCTTTTTTTCCAGCTTGTTATTTAACTAAATAAAAGTGTTGTTTAACCCTCTGCAGAATGTAGATGCACTTTAACTCCTTTTATAACTACCAAGAATGCTATTGCTGATAGAAAATCAGAGATCAATTTTCTGGGGAAAAAATATTCAAAAGAGTAAGGTTATATTAAATTTCTTCTAAGAAGTCTTAATTGACAGCTAAATTAAATAGAATAAAATTATCAGGAAGAAAGAAAAGCTAACTTATATACCAAACTTCACACATATACTGGGAATACTTTGGGCGATGCAGAACTATGACTAAAGTTAAAAAGATATCTGCCTACAGATTTAGGCTTAATACTGGTGCTTTGTACTGAATGTTTAAAATTTAGCTGTGCTGATTTAAAGAGCAAATACAGATGCAGTAAAGACTGCTCCTCTGTGGCATTTCTTCACATGTACAGATCCAAGAAGCCTCAACAAAGTAAGAGGAAGGCAATATTCAGGTTAGCATCTGAGAGAACTGGAAAACTTGTTGTAAGTAGCTACCTTTGAAGAGGTGGTGAGGTGTGTCTGGCATCAAAGAGATTGTGTGCCATGTCAGGATTGCTAAACTGTCCACATTTGCTAAAATGTGGTGTGGGCCTCCCTGGGGTTTTCCTTTGATCCTTTTCAGTATTTTTTACTGTGGATGAGGCAATCCAATTTAAGGCGAGGCTTCCATAGCTTACTTTTACAAAGGAAATAATCTGTCAGAATTGGAGTTCACTCATACAACAGCAAACATTAAAAAATTAAGTCAAGAATATAAAATCAGCTTTGGAGATAAAATTCAGCATACACTACCTTAGATCATGGTTTAAATAAAATGTGAGAATTTATCTAAGTTTATGTGGTTACATATACTAATATAAAAAACCAATAAAAATTTCCTGATTAAGACATTAGCTTTTCCAGATTTTCAAATTTTAAAGCTGATTGCTGTTGTACAGTAGAAAAGAGCTGTGTGAGTATCACAGCTGGAAACATACCATGATTTTAAGAAGACTGGTTCTTTGATTAATAAGTTCAGCTTTTTGTTTTTCTAAGCTGTCTTCACGTTTCTTCAGAATTTCTACATTGAACTGCTTTACAGACAGATGCTGAACCTTCCAAAAGGGAAAAAAAAATTATAAAGTTATTGTTTAATTGTTTCATATGCTCTGAAATTGTACACAAGGATCTTGATCCAGTTTAAAAAGAGCTGGCACAGCTGCTGGACTGACAAAAGCATAACAGCTCTTTTTTCCCCTCAATAACCTTTAAGTATACTGCTAAGATTTTGAAAAGTCTTCTTTCTTTGAAAGACTCACTTAGTGGTGCTCTGTCTATCTAAAATGGCATTTTAAAATCTGCTAGGTTTAGAAGAAATTTTTTTCAGGATCCTTTAGCCAACATAATTTACTGTCCTCCATTTCACTGTGTAAAGCTCATCTGAACCAAATGAGACAATAATATCAGAATAATATCTGATTATTCTGGGTTTTGGCTGAATGGTTGTATGTCATCCACTCTGCAATGCTGCCATGGAGTATGCAAAGGAGAGTGGGATATTTTTCTGAGCACAATTTTTGGAATTTTTAGCTGAGGAAGGGTGATGGGAATTAACTCACTGGTTATTGACAGTTTGATAATAAATCCCCCAAGCCCTAAACCTCAATTTTGCACCTAGGTTTATTTAGAGTTTTATTACTTTTAACCATTAGTTTATCTGATATGCAGGTATGCTGTTCAACCACTGCTTTTTCAAAATTTGCTGAAGGCTTCTTATTTTTCTAGCACATCTACTGTATCATCATCTAACCAAAGTGCAGATATGTGGTGAGATAGACTATAACAATAATAGGAAGTGGGTAAGTGTTGTAGAGTCTTAAAGGAGGAGAATCATTTCTTTGATGGAGTGTCAAGTTCTCTTGACTCAGAGCAATGAATAGGGAAAGCAAAGTTAAGATTTGCCCACAGAGAGTAAAGGCACAGGGTAAGTATCAGGAATTAAACTGAGCAGTCAGGCTGATTCACAAGTGTTTGTGTGTATAGAAGCAGAAAAAGCCAAATAAGAGTGGTATTACAGTGGTAAAAATGCAAATATTTTAAAGTTAAATAATGCACACGATTGTGGAGAGGGCACAGATAAAGTACATCTGATCAAAATAGAAAGATTGTGGAATGAAATGCCCAAAACTGCAATGTGAGTGTTGGAAAGCAAAGACTAGATTTTTCCTTGTCCCTGATATGTCCAGAATGCTAAGTGTGCAGGTCATGCTAGCTCAGAATTTATTTCACACATTAATTCAAAGAGAGTAGGTGGTCTTACATCACTGTATTTGCAATACTGTACATAACTAGCTTTAATGTAGTTTCTCCAAGATGCCAAAATTCATCTATGCATTTGCAATCAATTTTTTAAAGAAGTCATTGAGCTACAAACAGCAAAATGCTGTAATTTGGGTTCTAATTACATGGTACCTGGTTTTAGAGAAGAGAGGGAAAAATTGCATTTCCTAGGACTCTTTGATTGACCACAGGCAGTGTCTGTGAAATAGATGTCAAAAAACTTCTGAACTCAGTCTCAGTACCTTGGTCAGGCATCAGCTGCTGAGCGTGCACATGGTGGGATATGTGTGCTTGTAAAGAACTTCAGTTATTTGGTGTGGGAAAAATTGAACAGCATTAGCTGAACAGCATTATTTAATATTATTTGAATTACATGAACTCTTGCAGACATATGTAAAGCTAATTCCTGTAGTGAAAAATAAATTACTTTAAATAATGTCAATAACTACATAATCTTTAAACCTAAATACAGTCTGATTGAAATGCATTTTTCTATTCCATTATTTTCTGTATAATTTCCTATCTATAAATGAATCAATGTCAGACTAGGCAAGCAAGTAAAATGTATTTTTGTGGACATCAGTGAGAATATCATTAATACTGGTCAGTAAAGCACATAAAATTTAATTAGAAATAGTTCTTCAGCTCTTCCCATTAGTCATTTACAATAATGGCTCTACTCTCAGGACCTTCTGTACCTACCACATAAACCTTCATTATAAATCACAATGCATCAATAACAAATTAGTAATATAAACATAAAATTGTGATGTTCATAAATAAACTTATGAGTAAGACTACTGAGGACTTCACCTAACAAGCAACATCCAGATATAATCTGTGTTGGATAAATAAGTTACTATTTTAAAGCACCTTTGGGCTCTGAGATTGTGGCATGCATAAATGTGAGTGTCTGAATAACTGCCTGCATGATTATAGTCTCAATTTGCAACTAGTAAATATTTGTAAATTAGTTCTATTCTGATCCCTTCTTAGCAATGTTGATATATATATACATATATAGTTTGTTACAGAAGGCAGAAGAGACTGTTTTAGAAAGGATGTTTTAGGAAGGATGAAAGTCATCCCCCAAACATTTATTTTCACAACTAGATGAGGCAATATCCCAAAGGTTCTTGAAGTTGTTTATTTAAATGATAGGATCCAACAGCTCTGACTTCAAAGGAGGCACCACATGCTTTCCTGTTGTGAACACACATTCTGTCAGCACAGACACTTAAGAGCACAGGGGAGGGTATTTAGACTTAATTTTCAGACACAAGCAAATGGATTTTTACATAATTTGCAACCACAGATGTTGTTGGTGAAAAACTCTGCAAAAATGGTTGCTTAATCTGAAAATACATCTGCAGTTTGATTAAATGGAAAGAGTAATAAAATCACTAAATAGATTCAGAAACTTTCCTCTGTCTTAAGCCTTCCTAGAAAAACACTTAGGGTTTGTAAGCCTTAACTGTAAGTTCACAGAAAGATCTTCCGTATATGACTCAAGATCCTGTGAAATAAATACAGGGAATGTTTCCATGTATTTTCTGTGAAAGGCCATTAATAAATGGCATTGGGCAACCAAGGGATGTGTTCTGCACGCTGGAGGAAAGTGCTGTAACAAGCAGCAGGATGTTGAAACAGGGTATGGCCCCAAAAGTCATCCTGCCCTGACACAGCCCCAGCGGTGAGGTCTGTGGGAGGAAGGATGTTGATGGACACATTTTTAATTCAGAAAGGCCCAGTGCAGTTTTCCTCCATGCTGTGTTACTCGGCAGGTGAGGCACACTCCTCGAAAGTGCTTATTCCTGAAAGAACAGGTCGTGTATTTGTAAACATAACGTATTTCATTATTATGTACACTATAAATATGCCTGCTCACCTTGGTTTCTAAGTTAATTTTTGCAGCGCGCAGCTCTTCTTTTATTTGGTTAATTTTTTCATAACTTCCATTTATGTCACATTTAGCTGCAAGACAACAAAAACCCGTAAGAATATGTGCTCAGTTTGTAAATCCTAGGTTGTTACATCCTTACAGAAACGTGCTGGTGGCAAGAACCAGCCATGCTGGCTCTGCCAAGCTTTCCCTGGCACGAGTCCCCTCAGGACACCCCTGTGGGAATGGGGATGGCGCCCATGCTGCCAACCTTGTTGGATGAAGCTCCTCTTCTCCCTTGCCTGCTTTTCTGTGAACTGTATTTGCTGTAAAAAAGTGTTTAAGTTCATTCTTGGCTTCTCCTGGGGCTCTGTGGGCTGTGTGGGCCAAGCTCTTTGTGAGGGCTCCAGGAGGGTCCCCACAGTGCTGCCCTCAGGCCTTGGCCTACCTGGGTTTGGGACAGAGGTCTGGGGACACGGCTGAGGGGACAAGGCTGAGGGGACACAGGGACAGAGAGGGAGGTGAGGGTTTGCCACCTTTTTTGCAGAAATGGTGGCAAGAGCAAACCTCAGGCAGAGGGGAATGTGGGTTACTGCGTGGGGGAGCCCACACAGAAAACAGGGAATGGGAACACGCAGGCAGGCAGCACGGTAGGAGCTGAAGATGTTTGGTAAGGAATAAGATAGATGACACTGAATCATGTCAAACATGGGCACATCTGTCAAGCTGGTTCTGACTAAGGAACTGTGGGGTTTTAGTCAAACAGCTCTGACTTTTTTAATTCTCTAGGACCATGTGCTCCTTACTGGTTTTCCATCATTCAGAAGCTGTTTGTTCTCTGCTGCTTCCTTTTCCTATGCAGTGAGCACCATCCTTTCTAAATGTTACATCTGCCTAGATTTACTAATCTTTTGAAGACTAATGTCTAACCTGAGAAATTAAGGAAATAAAAACTGCTGTCACACAGGAGAACATGTTCAAGTTGACTCTGTGGAACTTACAGTAATCAGACTGAGCTTGGCTGAGTCTCTCATTTCAAGAGCATAAAATGGGCAGTGCTTCTATTCCAGTTAGTCCCAGTAAGCAAAGATCACAACACAGCCCATTTTATGCTCTTTTGGAGCATAATTGTGTAAAAATTTACAATGCTCTGACTTCCTGCAAAGTTCTGGTTTTTATGTTACTGGATGGTACACCTGGAAATGTAAGCACCTGGTTGAAAATATAATTCACATTACAGGGTTTGCTTTTACATCTTGGGAAGGATTGACTGCATTCCCTGTGGAGAATAACTATGCGAAGTCTGCCTATTTGCTTTGAGGCAGAAAAAGCCTGGAGGAATGAAACTTTATAGATTTACAGCCTTTTTAACACTGAAAAATATTAGGATTATTGACAGTCCTGTGTTATAGTATTTCTCAGAGGAGATACTGACTTAGCATAGACTGCAGCAGCAAAGTTCAGAAATTAGAAAATCTTTGACCATCAAAAACCAAAACAATATACATGAGAGTACAAATGTATCATTAATGAAAAGCCTGTTCTAAGTTAGCAGAATGCAGCAGAATTCTGGAAAAATCTTATAGCTTTTACTGCTTAAAAGGCACCATGTTACAGCTGGTAGTGTGTTAGAAATGGAAAGACATTGCTCTAAGAAAGAAAATGTGGGTTCTGATGAAATTTAAAACCCTGAAACTAGCACATTATGTTGCAGGAAATGCAATTATTTTTTTAAAATGGCACAAAGTGCAACTGAGGGGGAAGAGTTCACCAAAGTGAATTTAGAAAATGTTTCAGAAGTGAATCTTCCTACCCAAAGGCCAAAGGAAAAGCAGATGAGTCAAATGGGAACATTTGGTGATTGAGACAGTGATTTGTTACACAGGTCTGATGAGTGAAAAGTCATTTTACAAAATTCAAGAAAATGAACTGCTCTATCAGTGGATCAAGGAGAAAATAAAATGAAAAGCTTTCTTTGAAGTTTTTGAGACTTGACTGCTTTTGTGTTTGAAGCTGAGAAGGCTGCTGTAGGCTGGGATAGAGTTCAGTGTCACTTATTAAAGGAACTACTGTGTTGTGTGGAGGGTGCTTCAGCAACTCTAATTATGGCAAAGGAGCTGTTCTCCCCAGAAAGAGGAGTCTGACTCCAACTGCACTTCTCACTGTCTGAGAATGACCATTCAGCACGATTAACAGTTCTCTAAGAGTTTCCTTCAGAAAAAAATCAGTGGGATAAGTATTTGACATTAAGATTCACAGCTTTTTGACTCCTGCAGCTATTTGCCATGTGCTTGATTTTTATATGGTAAATTACTCACAATAATAACTCAGGATTATGTAAATTTAACCACACATGTGAAACCTGTACCAGTAATTTCAGAACCAGGATCAAGTCCAGGATCAAAGGTGGGCAGTTGCTGTCTCCCATGGAAAGGGCACAAACCTGAATGTTTCAGGATAAAAGTAAAATGTGCATTACCTTCACTCAACTCCAACTTCTGCAAAGCATAAGATCTTTGGTAGATCACTAGCTGCTAGAAAGGTGACTTTAATTTCATTCTGTCGTTCATATCAGTACATCCTAATCTTAATCTATATCTGTATCTTAATCACTGTGCTGTAATCAGGTCATGTCTTTTCAGTGTTCTTCAAAATTACTAATTGCCCTTCGTAATCAGGCTGCTTGCTAATAGTAAAGTTTCTTCTACAAGTTTCCTCTCTTGTTTGTGTAGGAAGAAGAAAAGAAAGATTTTGCTTGTAATTTCAAGTCTCTATAAAATTATTACTGTAACCTATTTCCAAATTATATACACTCAGACTGTTTCATAAATTGTTTTTTTAAAAGCTAAAAAATAGAGGCAAAAGTAAAGAAGTGGCAGGGTAAAAGTCAGATGATACAATATGGTCTTCATCATAAGAAATGCATAATAAGAACTAGAAATTGTAGGAATATAGTTACAAATAATTTTTGTCTTTTGGTCTTAGGCACTGTTAGTATTATTTTTTCCATATACAAACTACGCTGCTTACTTTTGAATGGCTTTATTTATAGCAAACCTTCTTACCAACCTACATCTCTCTGGTCTTCCTTTGCTCTTGGTGGTCTTTGTATTTGGCAACTACTTTTGTCTACCTCACATGAAGGAATAAAGTCAAATTGTTCGGTGGCACAAATTCACAGCTGTCATTTTGCATTTGCATGGTGCTGAAGTGCTATTTCCTTTACAGGAAATAGCCTATGTCTATGCATGTGTTTATATGTCAAAAACAAAAATGTATATGTGAGCTCTAACCACTTGGAATGTAATGCTGAGCAGCAATTCTATTGGAGAGAAACCACAAACAGTGAGAAACCTAGTAATTATCATAAATCAGCATTAAAAAATCACAGACTTATAAAAAATTAATTTTATAATGCCACTTCTAAACAGCAAGGCTTTAACTCTATTATTTAAAATGTTGTTGAAATTGTTAAAATACAGAAAGCAGTGTAACTTGTTGACACCAAATAGTGTTTTCAATGTAAATCAAGAACATTTTGTGAGCTGGTTCTCCTGCTCTTGCTGGCTACTTAAAAGCCTCAACTACTTCTGAAAACCTACAGCAGGACAACAGAAAAGGAAAACAGTAAAATGCAGTAAAAATCTATAATTTATGGGCTATCTCAAATTTCCTGAGGAACTCAAGCTAAGAACAATCTAGTTTTTATCTCTGGAAGAGTGAGAGCAAACTGCTGATCCACAGGCTGGAAGCTCTCCATTTCTAGTAGCATGCTCAGCAAGGTAGGCATGAATAGACATCCTGTTTCTTCCTCATAACAGGAGGAAAATGGACTACAAAATTCAGGGAACAAAATTTAAAATAATGGGAAAATGAGAAATAAATACCTGGAAAATGAGTATCATGAAAATGAGAATATTTCTCTTTGCCCCAAATCCCTATTTACTTTTACAGGTAAAAAACCTGTGAGTTAGTGAAAGGCTCTGTGTGTTTATTAAAAAATATTAAGCAGTAACTTTGTACTCCCCCATTACATGCCTGGCTGCAATGGAGAATTAGTGATACCCTTTTCCACTTTGGTAGGAATGTAAACAACTTCACAACAGATGTTCTTTATAAGGACAAAGCCTGCTATTTGCATTGTGATATCTCTGTTTGAGTCTTACATCCAAGATTTTGTTTAATTCCATCTGGAAAGGCTTCACTGGATCCCTTCAGCTTACTAAAGCAAAGATTATTCTTTTATGGGTTTAAATCTAAGTTTTCCATTTTCTTTGGTCAGAGAACACACCACCTGCTTACTTTGCTGATTGGTAGCTGTGCTGTTATATAGGGATCCACATTATTCCTCTGCTGTGGTTTAGAGTCTTAAATACATTTCAGTTGTTTCTTTTACTGGGTCAGAAAGTCTATCCTAAAACTTTTATACTCTGCTATTCTGTTATACTGTGCTGTTTGGATAAGCAACAAATGCGGCTCTCATTTTGAAACATAAATCAGAGCTTTTATTTATCTTGGCATAATTGTAGTAACTTTGCTAATGAAGAAGAAATTTTCAGATCTGGAGTCCATATCACAGTACAAAACACAGCCTTGAATTTGCATTTTCATAGTAAATTTTCTTAATTCTTTATATGGGAGATTGGAGTTTGCTTTACATCAATACTGGTTACCCCTAAGTTGGCACCCAAGGGAAGCTACAAGATAAACAGCGAATAAATACTTCTTACATTGTAATTGTTTGTATCTTCCATTTATAAAAGAGGGGTTTTCTATTTGATATTAGCAGAAATGTAAATAAATTATCCATTATGTTGTAACATCCTGTAAGAAGATGGGTGGTAGCATTAAATCCTCTGAAAAAAGGGCTGTTAAAGAAACACTTTTGAGGACTGGGACCTTCATGTAAAAAAGTAATCTTGGGTTGAAATGCATTAAACAGTCTGTTGAAAAGACTCTGTTTTAACTGATTAATTACAGTTTGTTTCCTATTAGCATATAATGCCAGTATGCCAACTGCTTTGTGTCATATAAATTTTACCTTAATCATAGAAAAATATTAATAAACACCAAAGGAGAAAGTAATAGTTTTATAGTTAGTTAATAAAAGATTTTTTTTTCTATTTCAGTCAGTTCTCAGAAGTTCACATATAATCCTGCTAAATTATCAGGTGAGCAGCAGTCATTATTTCTTCTAATATATTTCAGATTTTTTTAAAAAATTGTTCTTAAAGCTCTGTTGCTACTTGATGCTGCACTTGTAAGAAAAAGAGTATGTGCAGATGAGTGAAATGAAATGGCTTTATTGTCTTTATTCATAACAGGAGTGTTATTTAGTGTGAAGTTAGAT